TCGATTGGACAGTACTGATACGCCACCATTGGCATATGGGGTCCTGTACAGATGCCTCAATATTGCTGGTATTTTCTATTTTGATATTAATGATGGATAGTGGCTAGCAGTGAAATTTAAGATGCGCGTTCCATCCCATTTAGGACTCGTCAGCCGAATGTATGTGCATTTCTGTGGATGATCTTGCTCCCATCTATCACAGCAAGCGCCACAGCGTTATCCACTACGCCACTGACTTATGATAGCCGCTCCCTGTGTGCTGTAAAGGCATTTTGTTTCATGTCTCAGAATCAGCAGGTATTCATTGCTCTAAACATAATCTGTGTGCAGAAAAGGAGCTTTTAGTTCATTTCTTATTGGGTTGATGATTACTTACCTATCAGTTACTAATGTTCTTTGTTGCTGTGTTCTTTACTCCAAAATTTCATAGTTCTTCATCTCCTTCATACTTACCGCCAACTTTGATTTTAACTTCATCTACTGAAATCCACTACAACTTATTTATGATTCTCACCGTATTCTTTACTGTTTTTCATTAAAACTGAACCGCGGTGGGATTCGAACAAGAGACCACTGTGTTTCCAGCCCGGTGCTCTACCAGTTAAGCTACGAGGTCTGACTGCTGACTAGATTTTCATTTCACTTCAGTTACCAAGGGTTTTGTCTGACTACCATGTGAATTCGTGACGCTTTACAACCGCTTGATCGTATTCATACTGGCTACCCAGTCAGAACTTCATTCATCTCAAAGACCACTCCTTTCTAATCCTAATTATTCTACTCTGAACCATTTGTTCTATCATTTTGGTCATTAATTTTGATTACCGTTGTCAATATTACCGCAAGTATACTCTCCTAACATCACTGCTACCATCAATTTGTGTATGTGTGTCTGTGTGATTTGATTGATTTTTTAGCAGCATGACAATTTTTACCTCTTCTGTGTGTTTGATTAGGTCAAGAACTTTGTGAACTTTTCCTTTTCCCACATAAACTGAACCATTTAAATATGAATGACTTGATCCTCAATACTAGGTGAAGGTGAAATAGAAACCTGGGAGTTATTATTGATTATATGGCTGAATTCTACCGATTTTTACACTCGATATTATGTCAAATGTGTTTACACTCAGAAATAACACATCAATCAATGGTTTAGAGTAAACTAAATGAAATACATTCGCTTCATCCAATATCTTTTGTGATTCCTTCTTTATTAAAACTGTTTTGTAGGTCTGTTGGTTGTGAGTGTGCAGCAAGCGGCTGGAGCCTGTGAGCGAGGTAAATCAGTGGAAGAAGTCAGTACCTATTAACATTATTACTGTGGTAAAAACCAATTGTACAGAAGATATCATCTTTATCTACAGCAGTCAATCTGAGGTAATGAACTATGAACACCTTGAGAACTGTTTGTGTTTCAGAATATCAGAAAACGTTATTTGTCATATTCATGAAGGTGAAGTAAATAAACAGCGTAACATCAAGCCTTTAGTGCTGATTGAGAATCAGCATAAACTAAGCAGCTGCTTGCTTCCTTATCCCAAATTGTATCTCCCTCAACCGCCTACAGTTAGGCTTCAAAAATAAATGTACAGTTTAACGGCTAAGTTTGTCATTCCCGTTAAATATCCCAACCAAATCTACCAAAAAGTAAACCTATTTACCAGAACTCACGGAATTTCTCGACAATCAATCATATTCACCATTTGAGTATAAGCGTACTGAGACTTTACTACTGAGCCATCCAAATTAGCTTCCAGCTTGAATATTGAGTGACACAGGTTAGAATTACTGAGTCAACATGAATTTTTTTCAAGGTTGTCGGTGTGCTGATTTGATAAGTGCCAAAAGCATGAAGCCTATCAGATGGTTTTAAATATTCGTATAAAACCTTAGTGCAATGGTGTTTCTCGAAGTCTACTGAGTTTACTACTCACTTTATGCAGCTTTTGAGATTTCATATCAGATACTCAGCGTGTTAGAAATTGAAGTAAAATTACCTCCGATAGCGGCCTAGTGTTTTTCGACGAGTTCTTAGCTTTTATACAGAAAGCCCATTTGACATTTACCAACATGCTGTCTCAGACGCCTGAGCAATGTTGAGGTTAGATGTGTAGTACTAGGCAATGAAGGCTATCTATTTGGCTTGGAAATCTGTTATGCATACTGAGCTGATAACTTCCTTGGAAAGCTGCGTTGGCGGAACTAGGATTAGCTTCGAAGGAAACTAATGTTGATCAAATGAAGCAATGGGATCAATCTATGAAGTCTCCGCCTGGCAGGTATGAACCGTTTAAGGTGGCATTAACTGTCTAGTTAGTCTTTAAGATATTAAGAATCAGCTTTAAAATTGACCGCAAAACCATACAGGGTGTAAACTTTGCGCCATTTTCGAGACTTCAGGACTTTTGTTCACCTTCACTGACTGATTTCCTTCCTTTTTTACGCGTTTATGTTTACCTCAATGCTATTCTTTCTCTATTCGTTTTCTTTGTGTACTCTTGTGAAGCGACCTACTCTCCAAAGACTACCATATCACTAATTATAAGTAGTTGGGTTTTTCTGGTTTCGGCTATAAAGGTAACTTTTTCATACAATCTAATTGATTATCTAATTGTTGGGGTGACCTTTAGAACTACCTTAGAGTTGTGACCAGGTCTCCTGATCGATTGGCGTTCCGCGTTGATTCATTTGTCTTTTTAATATTTCATCAGAATATGTGGCTGAATCAACAATTTTTTAGGTTTCATTACGGTCTAGGTAGAATTTTCTCTCGCTTAGGCAGTAGGAAAATTTTTCTAACCTTCTGTGTCTATCAGCTTGACCTAGTTTTGTGGGATGAAGTGGGAGAGAGGGAACTTCGTTTCCGTCACTATGTGACTTTTGTAATTTAAATAACGCTGGGCTACTGAAATAATTGATATTTTTATGGTAGGCTGACAAGTATTTGTTCCCCTATTCGCAATGTGTAGAGCGTTTAACGCTAGACAGATGGCCGTTTTTTAAGGTCATCATGTGACAAAATAAACAGTCATCCTATCACAGAGGATGTGTCAGCTAAATTTCCGCCTACGCATTCATGTTGACCTAGAAGTAACTACTCTTATGGGGAATTCATCACTTAAAGTGGAAATTTCTCAATGAAGTACCAAATCTCAGTGAATACTAAACAAAGACCATTTTCTGTTTGATACTTGCAATTTCCCACTGATATACAGGGTCGAATTTCTTGACCTCTGTAGGCAGATGAGTTCATATGCGGATGCCGGATATTCATGATGTGAGCACTAGTCACCAAGGTGAATACAAGTATCAAGCAACAACTGATACCCGTCACACAAGAAGTAGCCTAGTAGATAGTGCTTCGACGTTTGAATTGATAAGCACTTGGTTTGAGTCTCAACAGAAACAACTGGCTGGGGTGCAGGTATATCCAGCTGACCAGTCTCCAACTGAATGAAATACGTACCCTGGGTTCCACCGCTAACCACCAAGATGAACACAAAGGCAGTTGTCATTCTGCGCTGTAGATTTTTGTCGTAACTTTAAGATGGCTTTCAATTAAATGGTGACAGTTGACTCATAAATATGGGGTAGTTTTTCGCCTTCGATTGATGTCAGGTAGTCGGAGGCGTGGTAAAATCTCTGACTAGAGCACTAGGTATTGCATCTTCAAACCCGTTTGGGAGCGTCAGTCACCTCAAGATTGTTGATGTGCCTTGCTAACGGGTGCCAACAAACATGAAACCTTGGCTCATGGATTCCTGCCGACTACAGAGTGATGTTCAGCCTCTTATCTTGTTGACAACATGATCTGTAGGCTTGCTTTGGCACTTAGGAATGGATAGCATGAAACTGCTGGTGCTCCAGTGACCAGTCCATGTGTTTTTCTTCGTTATACAGCACTAGAGGACCTATAACAGCACTAATAAATGAATAGTCGTCAAGTGATGCTTTGTAGTGATTTTATACTACTTATTTTCGTCTTATAGTAGGTCATAATGAATCGAGATTGTCTTTTGTACAAATGGCCAGCTTAGATGCTTATCGTCTGGAAAAAACGTGGTCAACCGAAGAAATTTGATCCCTCTCAGGGAAAATGAATAAAAACTAAGGATCTTAGCAAATGTATCGCATAGAAAGTTTTCTAGTGTGATGGATATTATGACTAGCATAGCGTAGACGGATTATGAAGTGTACCAACAAATAATCTCTTCTTCAAATGAATAAAGTGATATCTGGATGTGCAAGGAAATAGTCTGTGCCAGCGAAATAGTCTGGCATAAATCAACTGCAATTCGAAAGAACTGAGTAATGTGTGCAGTTTTGTGATATCACAATCTGTAGTTAGTTGATGAATAATTCCCCTGATTATGTCCAACTAAATGCAGACAACATCATTTCCGGATGGACTGAAAGACAGTCACTATCATCGAAGTAAGTCATGGTTCGATAATAGTGGATCAATCTAGTCTATGAGATGATATGATATCAAGAAAAAACATGCTATACTCGTCGTATAAGCGGTCCCTATCGTGACTCATTAGCCTAGTGGGTGATACTGTGGCGTTTGAAGCGATTGGTCATTATTTTGAGTCTCAAGGGGAACAACATCATTCACTAGGAGGCAGGTAAATCCAGCTGACGAATTCTAAATAGGATGGAAAGCGTGTCCTGGGTTTTGATGTTAGTCACTGTCCATCATTAGGACCCTGGGTAATGTTGAGTGCCATCTGTGAGCTTTTTTAAAATGAAATAGGCTTTTATGATGAACCTATCAATAAAGAGAATAAACCACCCATTTTTAGTCAGCGCCGAACACAGTATGATATTTCCATTTATTCGCTCATTCAAACACTGATATAAACGACACAAATGCAGACAGATTTACAAATGATGGGAGGGTCTGAAATGGAAATTTTCAAGACATTATCGTTCTCATCTATACTAACCGAAATTATTACAGCTGTTGGCGTATGTGTGTGTGTGTGTGTGCGTGTCTACTTGGAATTCGTTGTCATGATCAACTGTTGCCAGTTTTCACGAACTACATATTTGGCCAACTGATTTCCAATAGCCATTATCAGTGCAGCAGGATTACCAGTGGGAATTTTCGAAATGACTGAGGCATCACCAATGCGCACGTTGTTCACTCCGATTAACCTATGGATTTTAACGAATGAAAACAAAAACGGGGATAAGATAAAAAGAAAACTGAAATCAGCTTAAGTGGATGGTTTTATGCATTAATGACTTTCGTAATAATTAAACAGGCGTAGACATCCTTTGAATGCTAACCACTGCCAGTCATGTATCGGGCACATTTAGATAATTATTAGGATAGTGACTTTCGTTTTGTGTCTGACTGTCTTCAAAAATCTTTTTTACAGCTTTTATTCACGTTCTCGTACAACTGAAGAGTTTGCAAATAAAGCCTTGAATAGCTGAGTGGTACGGCTTTTAATTGCAGCGCTGGTTACCGCAGGCTTGAATCTCTCAAGAGATATCAGTTCCCTACATGCTGCATAAATGCCTCGCTGATGGGTACTATCAATTACGAAATCTAGGTTCAGGGCTTCCTGCTTCCAATTACCTAACATCAAGAAACATTAATCAGTCAATTTATTCCGAGATAGTAAGTAAACTGACTTCTAGATTGCCTGCTTAGGGGTCTGCCGACTGATTTGCGTGATTCAATTACTGGAAACATCTAAGCCTATCCTAGTGTTATTTCAGTCACTTACTTTCAATAAAGTACCCTTCATGATGCCATTAGTTAGGAAGATAGTTCTTTAGAGATCGGTAAACTGGGGACTGGTTTCGACAACCAACTACTTCAGTTTAAGATGACCAGCGGAACTGAAGAAACTTTGAGGTGTTTCGAATTCCTTTTACCTGTAATGCAGAGTGCTTTTTCAACGTCCAGCTCTTGTCTTATACAGTTTCCAGTCAAAAATTGTGAAGTCTTCTTGAGAAAACGTCACCTTAACCAAGTGAATAAGAAGCAGGGATTTAGCAGGTAGGCAGAAGTAGATGTGGCTGGAGTGACTTTAAAAGTCACCGTAACAACTACTTTCACAGTTGAAATACCAAACTTGATTGATTATTTCAACAGTTGCTACGGTAGCCCCTAAAGTCAATCATATAGCTGTTAAAATAATTACCTATAGAGGTCATCCTAGCAACGACTGAAAAAGCCAATTGGGTTACTTTATATTTTGGCTGGAAAGGCAGATTATCACAAAACAAAGTAGTTTAATTGGTTATTTCACTTACTTTTTGGGTGGCTTAAACGGTCACTTGAGCCGTCAGATGATACTTTTGATATTGCCTAGTGTTCATTTTATTGAACATCTAGAATATGGGGCATAAATTTCTTCTCTCTATTTTGCACTCTAAGGGTGGAGTAGCTCAGAGACCTTTATTTTTTTCTAGTAGATTCCTATTCAAAGCTGTGAATAAGACTTCTGATTTTCTATATATTTCATCCTATTGAATATACCATTTTCAGCACTTTTTAATGGTACGTAAGAAACACCAGTTTTCACATCTGTTTTGTAGTACAATGCAATCAATTCAGATACACTGCGGCGAGTCTTGGATATCTTAGTTAACTTAAATTAACCGCAGAATACAAGAGACATGCTCATCTGTTATTCATACTAAAGTTTTATCTCTGCAATTTGTAAGTAAATGAAGAACTAAGTTTTCAGAAAATGCAGGTGAAAAAGATTTTGAAGAATGTAGGTTCGATTCTGAGAGGTAGCAATGATCTCTTCAACGTCACAGATTGGTGTAGATGACCACTTTTCAGAAAATAGTATCCGAGATCTGTAGGTATTTAGTTGGTTGATTTCAACTATTCATTGTTTAATTAAATGGCACTTTATAAGTATGAGCTGTAGGATTTTATGGACAACCACAGTGATTACTTATAAGCCTATTTGAAGTATTTCTAGTGTAAACTCAACTCTTTGCTTCAGATGTGTGAAATATGATAGAAAAAACCTGTTACCTTCAGTTTTTATGTTTATTATTTCTAGCACTAAACACTTTTCTAAATATGGGGGATAAAGATAGCAATATTTGAAACCTACTTGAAGTTTTGATCAACAACAGCTGGATAATTCGTATTCTGTAGTTTCATAGCACACGTCCCAACTGTGTGATAATTGGACAAAGTTGTTGATTTGGTAAGGCAGGCAATAGCTTCTTTCAATTCCTCAGAAAAATTGGTCTGTTCAAAGCTTTTTTCACTTTCAGCTTTCGGTATTTTTGGACATCCGAAATAATGCGGAAGGTGTAGTTTTATGCTTATCGGTTTCTTAGTATTTGAAATTGTTAAATTGAGTTTGTTCATTGCATTGACGTAGTTTAGTGCTTTGTATATCCAAATGATACCTTCTACTAACCGATTGACATCATTTGGTTCACTAAGGTATGCTGGATTAACTTCCAGTTTTCCATTGGGCGAGCCATTGTCATTTTTCTTCATTTTTATTTCTCCTCTAGAAAGAGGATTAAGCAAGCTGACCAAAAGAACTATTGGATTTTCGAAATTAGCCCTATTTTCATCTTTACTAAACTGATGCCAAGCGGGTGGATTAAAGTTTCCCAGCTGTAGAGTGTAACATGTTGATGTTCCGTGCAAAAAGAAAAATGATTAGGAGACAATGAAATTTATAGGATGTAAACAGTGACATCTTTGACTCCATGAGTACCAGATTTGCAATCAATGGATGGGGAACGAATTTCTTAAAGGATTAGTTAGTTATTACATAAATGTATTGAATTATGACAAGAGGTGTCTTTCAGGATCCAGTGGCCTAGTGAATAGAGTTGCGATTGAAGCAGTGAGTACTTGACTCGAGTCCCAGTGGGAACAAGATAACTTATCAGGGTGCAGGTACATCTAGCTGACGAATCCAAAATAGAACGAAACATGCATGCTGGGTTTCACTATTAGCCATCATAATTTATCTCTTTCAGAATTACACACATAACAGTACCAATGCATTCAAATTTGGGTGGCAAGAGTAGACGGCAAATGCTTGATCCACAATACTATTTATATCTTGGTTTCAAATTTAGTAATACTAAGGTTATTTAAACGTGTACTACATTTGCTAAACGAGCGCAATCTTCAAGGCTTCCGCCTGAATGAATTGAGGGTCCATTATAATAGGCCTAATAAGTGCTATACCACACCATTCTTTGCGGGACAGTAGGTTTTATTTTTTTTCATACCGAAGAAAATATGCATTTAGACACATTGAACTGTGTGAACCAGTAGCAGTCCAAAAGTGAGACAGCTGAATAGCTTGACTCAAAACATCCTATGAATTTCCTGGGACCATTCATGACCAATATAGTGGATAGATTAAAAGAATTATTTAGATTTGTTCATTTACCTTCTGTGATAAGCCTGATGTGAGCGACTACAGTGGTACCTACAAAATCAGATGAGCAAATCTTGTTTTACTAATTTTGCGCCAGAAGTATACAAACGAAATTAGCCAGTAAATAACTACTTCGATAAAGACTCTTAAATGGTAAAGTATTCAAGAAAGTTGGGTCAACAAATGCTAGTCATACCAGATAAATCGATATATAAGGCATAAGTGTGAAACAAGCAGCTAGTGTTACACTAGCATCTGTTCTCGGTTCGGAAATTAATACACAATCGAGTGTAATTTTGATGGTGACACTTCAGTCAGCCAGCAGAGAAATTCATAATCCCATGCAGGTATCCTAGGAATAGTAATGCGGTGTATTTCTGAGCATTTATAAATCCGCTTCCATCCGGTGGAACGTTTTCCCTTCATTTTGTTCTTGGTTAGAGAAACAAAAGATGTGGAGCATTTTAAAAACGTTCGAGAGTACATGGTGCATCCAGAAGACAATTACAAACTAAAGTGAACCATAAGTGAAGAATTTGATGAAACATAATCCTCTACTACTACTACTACTACTACTACTACTACTACTACTACTACTACTACTACTACTACTACTACTACTACTACTACTACTACTACTACTACTACTACTACTACTACTACTACTACTACTACTACTACTACTACTACTACTACTACTACTACTACTACTACTACTACTACTACTACTACTACTACTACTACTACTACTACTACTACTACTACTACTACTACTACTACTACTACTACTACTACTACTACTACTACTACTACTACTACTACTACTACTACTACTACTACTACTACTACTACTACTACTACTACTACTACTACTACTACTACTACTACTACTACTACTACTACTACTACTACTACTACTACTACTACTACTACTACTACTACTACTACTACTACTACTACTACCACTACTACTACTACTACTACTACTACACTACTACTACTACTACTACTACTACTACTACTACTACTACTACTACTACTACTACTACTACTACTACTACTACTACTACTACTACTACTACTACTACTACTACTACTACTACTACTACTACTACTACTACTACTACTACTGGTCTAGCCTCTAGTTCAATGTCATCTGGCTAGGGATAGGTTTAAATCAGAAAGCGTTTTCGATCTGCTCATACGTTTCGGGAATACATGTTCATATTTACATAATGAGGAAGTTTGTTTGAGAAATTGTTGTACTTAATCTTCTCAACTTTTATTTCGTGTAACAACAAATGTCGACAAAATAGAATGATGGCCATTCTGTATTGAGGATTGACTGAAGTTAAGCTATTGAATTTGATATCATTGGGGATGTATACACAAAGAGAATTGCTAGCCTTGGACTCTATCATGTATTGGTCCATGGAGGTGCATTGTAGGGGAATTATAAATGATGAAAAATATGGCCTGTTCACTGTCCTCTAGTTTCACAGCAGCTCTCCATCTGATGTTGAATAGTGTTAGGAACTACCTGGAAAACATTCAAAAAACGCCTGACAGCATATTTTCTTGTCCAGACGTTTTATATGAAGCTTGAAAATTGGATGAAGTTCAGAGAATCAGTTAGGTTTAATTGACGTTGGCGGCAGAAAATATGTTTTCCACACTAACTTTGACATTTTAATGAAGCAGATTATCAAAGTGTGTTTATTGTAAGAGCGGATTGATTTTAAACACGTGGTCGGGATTGAAATCCAGTTGTAGCTAACGTTTCAATGATCTCAAGTACTAAACAGACAGACCTCCTAATGATAATTTGCTTGGTTATTGACGATAATGACCTTTTGCTACCTGTGTGTATCGGAGTGTAGACTTCTTTTTTTCCTGCTTATCCATAAAGGAATACTTCCCGTCACCCTAGTTTGATCAATTATTTTATACCTTTGTCCACCTGTGATACGTGCAATGGGATAAAACGTAACCGTCCACGTGTTGTTAAGATTTGTGTTGAAGCGTTTCTTTTCTGAAGGATGCTTTTTATGGTAGTCAAGATGAGGGTTAATCTAAAATAATTCTGTACGATCTCTCCATCCACCCCAGCCACCACTTTCGATAATATGATAGGTGCAATATGTTTTAAAACTAAATGCTTCATAGGTTTCAATGTTCAGTGAATCTTGTACTCATTCATAAATTTAAAGGGAAGTGGATTCTTCACTCTGATTTCGGTCAGGAGTCTGGTTTCCTCGTCCCACTTGACTGCTGTGTGGTTACTTTTGGTTCTTTTTTACCAAATCCTGATTGCTTTGCCTTAAATTGAAGCTGTAGAAATATAGACATCATCCTGTCAAAGTAAGCTTCTTGTAGACCGATCTTCCTAGTGAGCCAAGTTCTTTGGGTGTCCATAAATGATAGATGGCTGTCCCTTCCTAAATAACCTGGAGAGCCGATAGTTTTTTTCTAAAATAGTGTTCAGACTTACGATGCTCACGTTTCATCATCCTGCCTGTTGCAGACTACTATAACTTAATTTAAGTAGCCGATAAATTCAAGTGTATCTTTTAGAGAAAATTTTCATAATTCGTTTAGCATTGGATCTGATATTTTTGTTAGCCAATTTGCTAATTCTTATGTGGAATGAGGACCCATAGACAATACTACTCTCACTAGAATTCTTACTTCAAGAATGGTTAGGTTGTTCAAACCCCTGAGACTTTAGTTAATTAGGGTGTGCCTTGGTGATTAAATTCTACTTAGACTAACAATTACTGTACCTTTCGAATTTTTGAATGTCATCTGATTGGAAATCTGCTGGGAGTTTGGTTTAATCACTAACAACTGACAACGTAATGCCGTTAAGGTTGTTTCTGTTCATAAAAGCTACACCAGATCCATGATCGGGTATGAGAATTACAATGCTAGATCTGTTTAGAGTTTCTGTCAGTGTTTTAAACTCTTAAGAAGATAAGAGAGTTCTCTTATTTGCTCTGGAATCACTGAACTTATCAAACGGACGACCCGTATAATCAGTAGATGAAATAAAAAAAAGGATTGGTTATCAAGAGAAGAGATAATTCAGTGAAGAAAATTTTCTTTTCGACGATATCATTTTCTAAAGCTGTACAATCGTATTTATATATATCATAAACATATAACAGTCCATTATAAAACAATGGGGTATAATTACATCACTAACCAAGTGCTACCAAAAAAAACGGAATCAAGAATGCAAAGTAGTTGCGTAATAATCTAAGACAGTTGGAATATCGAGGAAGGCGAGGAGTTTGACAAGGTGAAAACTGTTAGTAGATAAGAAACGCAAATATTGAGTGTCCACTTGGTAGATAGGTGTAAAGAAGATGAAGAATGAGACAAGGGTCAGATGGAATTGTTCAAAAGGAGTACGCCTTCGACGGTTGTGCACAGCGGAGGCACTGGCAATTCATCAATTCAAGCCTGATCTCTGCGTGCAAAAGAAGTATGTTCAATCTCTCATCTTACCATGGTCTTAACATTTTCATTTTTTTCGATTTCATTATAATTAATTGGTTTATTATTATCACCATTATGACCCTTGTCTCATTCTTCATCTTCTTTACACCTATCTACCAAGTGGACACTCAATATTTGCGTTTCTTATCTACTAACAGTTTTCACCTTGTCAAACTCCTCGCCTTCCTCGATATTCCAACTGTCTTAGATTATTACGCAACTACTTTGCATTCTTGATTCCGTTTTTTTTTGGTAGCACTTGGTTAGTGATGTAATTATACCCCATTGTTTTATAATGGACTGTTATATGTTTATGAAAGGTTACCAGTTTTATGAAAGCAAATTAATCAGAGGAAAATTATTTCGGCCTAAATAGTTTATAAGTTTATAACCATTCTGGGTAAATTTCGCTAGTTGAAAAGTTAAACAAACACATTCGATTTCCATTTTTGGAAAAAGTAAACATGAATGAATTCGAAATGAGCAGTGTAGCATCAAATGTAATGTGACATATAAACTTATTCAGGTTTCAGAGAATGATAAACTAATGTATCCATACAGTCTCAGAGTGGACTGTTTTGGCTGTTTGATATATGCAAGCTGAGCGGTCAAACGAGTGACCTGTTATCTGTGAAGTGTTAAGCTTATGGACGACGCAAGAGTTTACAGCTTGACCTTGACCTATTACTTTTTATCGAGGAGTTAATGTTAATTGGTAGTAATTTGAGTTCATATATCAATAAAACTAAGCGAACAAATAGTTAATCTAGTTGCTTGACCTTTAGTATTAGCTAATTCGGGTATAGTATTGCATAAACGATCATGAACTTCAAAAAGTATTAGAATTAATGCAATACAACCAGTATTACTTCATTTTGTGTCAACTGGCTTTTTTTTGTCGTTCATGTTGGTTTCTTGTCGAAAGTCTCCAGTAAGCTCTTAGAATTGAACTTATATATTAACCACTATTCAAAGACCTATTTATGTGCGTGATCAAGTCCTAAATGAGGTCAACTGTAACGAGGAAGCTTAATGGGAATGTTTCTCAGGGACATGGGTCGGATATACAATGGGAAATGACATTTTAAGGGTTGAAGATACATCCTGTTGATGAGCATTATGAATGGCACAACCTACGTCCAGGATTTCCAACTCTTAAATGCATATCAACAATCGAACCCTGGCAATGAAGAAGTGAAATATGTTCGTTGCCTTGCAGATACACCCAATTTGAAATAAGGAATATGAAAACACTCAGCACAAAATCCTCTGTCATGGAAGAGCTCCGTTCTCCTTCTAATATGCTTACTACAACTACTTCTGTCTCTTAACATATTTTCCGATAACAAGATGAAAACCTCGAAGTTCTCACCAAGCTGCATGTTTGTGATGGGTGTCAACGAACACGGATGTTCGACCAAAGATATTGACTAACTAGTTTCAATAACCTAACATAAATGTAAATCTATAATATGGAAATATATGGGAGATAGTGGAGTAACACTTGCAAAATCTTCACTTATAACAATAAAAGTAGGAAAGAAGTTTATTTTTCAATCAATTTACTAACACTTTCAAAGGTATCTTTCTCAAAGGGAGAGGCTGATATTATAGTATACTGTATATCTGGTCGAGAATCGTTTTCTGCCTTCTGATACTTGTTCGGTAATAACCAATGAAGTCAACGCTGATGCTTGAGAAAGTATTCCTGGAAAGAATATCGAACAGTCTATTACTGAGACATCACACTGATTTTGATACAAATAACTAAAATATGGTAAGGCTTATAAAACTAATTTACATGAAAATGTAATCGAATTTTTATAATTGTTACTGTTTTTATTAACGTGTTCCAAGAAAATCGTCATTTGAAATTGAGGTGTGACACTAAATGTTTAAACGATACGCTTCTTATCTGTGTAGCTTCTGAAAGGTTGAATACATCCATTTCATTATAAGCATCGCACATGGTTTGATTTTGAACGGTTGATTAAATGTTTGATTTCCAGAATGATGTAGTCGTTATTGATACGAATGTACTAAAGGAAGGTCACTTGGAACGAGCAGCTGGTCAACTTCCAGAGTTAGCTACCCTTAAGTAGATAGAGGAGCCTCATTCCCTCATTCTATTCAAGAGTAAGGGAGATGTACAATGACGATACATTAATTCCAGAATTAGAAACTCTCGAGAAGTACTGTTAGAGAATGGCAAACCATCCAGATTTATAGAGAAAAATGTGAAAGAAAAGAAGACTGTTGAGCAAACTTAGACAGCCTCGAAGGAAATATAATGAGTCTGGAATTTAAAGATGATACTACCGTGGGCATACTTCTTAAATATCTGTCAAAGTTCCTAAGTGGAACATTCTATTCTGTAAACCTCCTTATTGTGTTCTCATGTCAGTAGTCAATCCATAAGAAACAAGTTGATACAATCGGCCTCATCAGTGGGGCTTACAAGTTCACTTGGTCCTGTGGAGGTGAGTACTTCGGTCGTACTATGCGCTCACTAGAAAAATGTGCTCGTGAATGTACCTAGCCTGATTGACGAAGGATGAGTACAAAGCCATCTTCAGGTCCATTGCTGAACACCTCCTAGGCTCTAGACGTCTGGTTCCTCTGGAAACCTCGTTCAAAGTACTCCACAAAGTTCGAGCAAACGGTTCAAAAGGAATGATAGTGACACATTTATGTGAAGCCGAAGTTTTGGCAATTCGAAGCAATAACCTCAGTTATATATTTAAAGGAAACATGTACAAACACTCTCTTTACACTAGCCGTAATAAGGTTTCTCTGCACCTCTGTTTTTTTAATTTCTTAAATTGTACGAGATACCGAATCTTACTGTTCAATGCAGTTTATAAAAACTACTGACATCATGCCATGAGTTATGATTTCATTTCATTCCCCTATGCATCTGTCGACTAAGTTTGACCTTTGACCGGAAACTTGTCTAAAACATTCTGTCACTTAGTATCTTTAGTAATGAATAGCTGTGAAAATGAGTCATCGAAAGATAATTAACTTCCGGGAAACGTGGTGTATTTGTGCTATACACTTCGAACAATCTGATCACACATCTGCACTAACTCCACCGGGGTGAGGGCACCCATGTGGTTGCACCATGGGATGAAACTGTATATCGTCCTGGTTTTAAAGAGCCTAAATGTGTGTTCTGTTCTCTCCTGAAAACCAGTGTACAAATATCCGTTCAAATGAAGGATGTGGACCATACTGTGATCATACATCAAGGCATTTTATACGAAGGCTGGGAGTGGGGAGGGACAAATACGAAGAGGAAATGACAAGAATTGAAGACAAATTTAGTAATACGGAAGATAAGCATGAGGTCATATCTGTCTTTCCCCCACTTCCAGCTTTCATATGAAATACCCTAACAAATAACTATGTAATCAGATGGTTCGAAATGTATAGGGCAAATGCATCACATTTTTCAGATATTCCACGTCTTCTACTTACGTTATCCAAATTCACAAAAGTGATTGATTGTGGTAATTTACTTGATTGTGGCTAGCAGTGGAATTCAGGACGTGCACTTCGTCCTGGGGTGCAGGTGCATTCAGCTGAGGAGTCCCAAATAGGACGAAACCCGCGTCCTGGATTCCTGTGCTAGCCACAACTAAGTAAATTACCATAATAAATATTGAGGAAGTATCGAGGCATCTGCATAGGAGCCCATATGTCAACAGAAGTCAAACACTTCGATCCAATATAACAATGGAGAACTGCAAGTATATCAACAGAAAGGGATTAATTGTTTCAAATAATTATCTTCGCTGTAACCTCCGTTATTATTTTTTAGTTATTCATTAGTTTAGAGGAAAAATGTTTAAGCTGTTTAAATCCAGAAAGGATGTGCATTCTTGTCCTGTGATGCAAACACCAACTGAATTACCACTTCATCACTAAGATTATCCTACATTTCATATAGGTGTTTATTCAACAGTTAATCTCATGTCATCGTAACATTCTGATCTAACTGTTTCAGTTTGATGTTTATTACGGGGAAGTAATTCGGGATACTGTTGAACTAATCTGAAAAATTCACAAGTATTTTACAAATCAGTGGAGTAGTGACATGTGAATGATTATTTCATTTCTGATGCAGTATCAATACTGACGATGGAGGTTATGTTTAGAGATGGTCTGGTATCTAGAACGCCATTCAGGGTCACTGGGAAATGGAAAATCCTTAGATCTACCTTTAACAAGTGATAGTTTAACTAACTTTTTATTTTCAGAATGAAACTTGTTACTCTTCCATATTTTAAATAGTCTTGCCGCCAGATAATCTAATTTAACTTTTATTGAGTACTTTAAAATATGCAGTGAAGTTTATAGTTGTTGCATAGAAATCCAATACACCTACAGTTCTTCTCAATGAAGTTGGCTACATCCTTAATACTTAAGGATTTTCATTTTGACCATTTTAGATAATCGTGGTTTATCAGACTAGTATTTATACCCGGTGATGATTGAAGGGGAAATAAAAACTTGGACCGCCACCGGACTCAAACTAGGGACCACTTAAGGATTTGTCACTAAGATTTCATTCTTGTTTGTCACTCTGACCCTGGATAATATAAAACTGACAGGATACAATAAGATACTAGGCAATGAATCTCAAAATCTGTTTGTTCATACTCATTTATGTGGCTACACTCATGTGCCATGACCAAGGAGAGTCACATTCGCAAGAACGGAACTTCCTCACGGACTGACTTCATTGGGAGAAACTTTGAAACCTGGGAGCACTGGTCAACTGTTCCCTCCTGGTCT